TGAGTAGGGGGGGGGGGGGGGATCGCAGGCGGGGGTCGATGGGGGGTGGGGGGGGGGGGGGGGGGGTGTGTGTGTGTGGGGTGGGGGGTTTGAGGGTGGGGGTGGGTGTGTGGTGCTGTTGGTCGGGGGGTTCGTGACTCGTTGTTCATGAACATGAAGTGTCGCGCACTATACAAGGCGGTGTGTTCGGCAAGCGTGCATTTGGTGGGTGTAGTATGAGGGTCGGGGCGGGACGTTGGGCGACCCTGTGGCGCATCATTCGCACGTGGTACAGCGTTATTTTCCTCTTGTCTTTCCTTCTTTTTTCCTGTTTTCTTTTCTTTCCCCGCTGTTTCGCATTATTCTTCACCCCCTTGACATGTAATCGGTAGTTTGGGCGTTCGCATTGGTGTGTTGTATTTGGCGCATGTATCTCCGCACATATCATTTTGGCAGGCGTTTTGTTTGGACAGCACAATACCCCTACATCAACATTCTTCTTTGTGATCGCATATAGCTTATTTTTGTCAGTGTCGTTCGAGCATACAACGTTACATTCTGGTCAACTGTTATTACGTGGTTTGACTTGCGCCGAGTGCGATGCATATTATACCATTACTGCGCCTGAAGCTCTACAATCATCTCCTTGACAACCATCTCCTTGGCGGCTATCTCGTTTACAACTATCTCCTCCTTGATGGAAGCCTCTCCCTTGTTGGTCATCCTTTCCCCCTCAATCGTCTCTACATTTGTATTTTCGTCTTTGTTCGCATCTTTGTCTTCGTTGGCATCTGACCTTCCTTTTACGAAAAATTTTTCCTTTGCAATTACTGTTTCCTTGGTGCATATGGATTCTTTTGCGACGGTGGCTTCATAGTGCTCCAACAATTTCCTCGAAGTTACAGCTTCGTTGTTCTTTTTCATTCCATTAACAACTTCCCTCCATTCAGACTTCAGCGATCCGCTGAGCTCGTACGGATTGGCCTTCTTAAACAGCTCCACCCAAGTGCTCAAGATCTGTATCGCCCGTTCTTGGCTTACTTCAAACCATTCCTGATGACGTACGCTTTTCCCTTTGTCTTTCAAGCACCCTTTGCAAGGCTGCTCTCGACGCCACTCTTTGATCAGCTCGTAATGCGTAAGCGTCTCCACACGTTGCGCATACGGAACTTCAGTTGCTCTGAACAATTCGGTTGGAGTATATCCGCATTCCGACCATTTTGCCAGACGTTCGTCGACCGATCTGGCCGTCCAACCAATCTTGACATGACCAGGCGAAGATCTGCGGCTGTACATGTATACCATTCCTGTTTCGAGGTCCCGCTTGGGAGCTCGCACGTTCAAATCTTCACAGATCTTCCATGCGACAGTATCTTCAGGTGTAGGATCGTGGATATGAGGAGTAAATTCTGTCGATATGGAAAGTTCGACTCGTTTAGACAACTGTGTAAGGGAATCGCTCACTACGCGGGAACGGAGGTGGTATCGCTTGCTCGTTTCTAGAGTCTCTGCCTCAAGTGGCGCATTGTCTGGTATGATCATCGGAGAGACACATAGAAGAGGTGCTGAACTTGCTTCTAATCGCGATGGGTTTGGGCTGATAATCGGCCATTTCGATCTATCAAAAGGACTGTAGGATGGACTGGACGAGGGTGTCTCGACCGTGGTGGCGCGGCTAGTAGCCGAGGAGGGAGATGTGTTGCATGAACTGGGGACTGAACTGCTGGCCCGTGAAGTTCGCTTGGGCGTTGTAGGCGCAGAAGCGTAAGCCGATTGCCGTGAAAGCCTTCCCAAATCCTTTTTGACCTGGATCTCATCCAGCCAGCGCTCGACCAGAGGAATCAAGAGTGGACTGGATAAGATAATATCTCGATGTTTTGCTCTGGAACAGCAAGTGGACTGAATGTAGTCTCTGATATGATCTACAAGCTTATCTTCCGACTCGTTCTGAGCGATGATAGGATGCAGTTCAATCGCCCGTCTGTTATCGGATTCGGAGCAGTCCCACCTGCACCGTCGGTCTGGACGGTCAGCCTTCACGAAATATATGCATTGTTTCTGCGCATTTGGGTTGAGGTCATTGAAGCTGACGAAGAAATCTACACCCGGGTCTGGAACAACCATCTCGAGGTGTATGTAGGACAGCTCTAATGCGAGTGCGTAGACTCACGAGCTATATGAACACCGGTGAACCAGCCTACGTGGGCGGAGTCGCCAAGCGGCCGCACTGCCTGCTATGTTCAAGCTGAGAAGCGGAGCAAGGGCCCTGTGACCAAACCTGGATTAATTTTAGGAACAGCTTGGGGTGTAGGCGCCAGCGGCTTTTCGCGGGCCATTAAGATCATGCTCCAAGACAAGGCTAAGCGAATGCTTCGCTAACCCTTGCGCTATGCCGGAGTTGTGCCTTCTTGGTGGCTCGTCGATCCGTAAAATTGGTATTGAGTGAGCCTGCCATTGATAAATCTTGAACTTTACGAAATATGAATACAGAAAAATAAGTTATCAACCGGTCCAGCCAGCAGCATACTTGACAAAGTGTGTAGGACCGCGATAAGTCTTGATCTGGGCTTACGTGCTAATGTACCTCGCCGGCTAATCGAACACTCACCCGAAACTCCAGCAGTCCACTCCCCGCCCAGCATTGCTTTTAGCTACTTCATATACAATCGAAAGTCTACTTCTGATCTATGAATGATGTTTCTCCATGCGTCGCGAGACGCCACGAACATCTTTTGGCATAATAAAGGGTACAGGACATTGAAAGATTGGGTGATCTTATGGTGCGAGCCTTGAGCTGTAAATTCTACTGTTTTCAATGTCTTTGATCAAGCAATTTTACTGACTGTGCAATAGGACAATTCAGCGTAATTATTATGTAATAAAGCTTTTCCTGCTAGTTATATATGCCTTCCCAATTCTAGGCCTAGCTGACAATATATATACTATTCTGCATTACTGTTAGTAGTTGCCTGATCAAACGAAACTCTTGACCGGAAAATATGTTGATGCAGAACTGCCTTTCGATAATAATTTCTGCAACACACTTAGCTTGCTCTTAACTGTATGCGCGCCACGTAGTACTCACTACGAAGACCGATACATGCAGCAAGCAATAACGACTGATGCAGAACTAGCGACGATACAATTCTATCCAACGCTAGACAATTTTGAATCGTTCAAGATCTATCCAATGTTTACCCTTGTCTAACATAGCAATACATTCTCCAATTTCGATCTTCCCCTTGGATGTGTTTTGCCTGCCGCGTGATGAGACCAGTGGAAGTTTTATCGAGATTGATGATGCCTGAGCTCCAGCAGCGGAAGCGAACGTGGGAATTGTGAGCTTTTGTCAACCTTAAGCATCCTAAGCTGGACGACACCTGTTTCCAAGAATTTGCCAAGCAAGTATGAGCATTCGTGCAATTTTGAGAAATTGAGGACATCTAACAGTATGACCTTTCAAGTCAGTTCGTCCCTGCCTCTATTTTCAGATGCTCAATATACCCTAGCAGTGTCTTATCCAAGGTGTCTATATCCGTCCTTCCACAGCAATACACCAGCCAGGAATTGATTGCTTTTGGCCCGATTTGCGGTAGATGTGAGATCTCCGATCGGGGACAATTAGCCTTCGAACGCAGTCTGCCCTTCTTTGGTGGGTCTCTGATGTACGCTTGAGCTAAGCTAATTAAATAACGTGGCTTTTGGTTTTGCAAGCCAATTCCCCCGAAGTAGCGACCAAGAGTTTCAGGCAAGGCCTTTGAAAGTAATTCTGGCGTTGGATATGCTGCCAGACATTCTGAGGCGCGTTGGCAAGCGAGTTGTTGTTGTTTTACGGCGCGCTGGGTGAAGACGATCGCGATCAAGAATTGAAACTGTGCGGGTACATCAGATGAGTAGTAGTGGATGCGCAATTGGTCTTACCTGGTTGTCTTTGAATCGTAGAAGGGGGTATTGTGAAGCGATGTTCGCTTGCTGAGTATTTCGGAGTTCTGATGGCACAATGCTTTGCAAGCTCAAAAGACTGCTGGCAGTAGTTTCCTGAGACGCATTCATGACAGAGACATCACTCGATTCGCATGACAATCCAGGCGTTGATGGTGACGAAGTTATTGAAGACGATATCTTTGTTTCCGTCAACAATTCTGGGATATGTTCGAGCTTCTTCGCGACAATTCCAATGTCTGTCAGACCTTCAAAGGAGTTATCGCTTGCTGATTGTGCAAAAGGCTCTCCACCCCTAAGATCTTCCGTGGCTTCCGCTTGGACCTCAGATTTTTCCATTACCCTGTGAACATTTCTGTCGTTTGTTTCCAGATTCCTGCTTGTCTGTTTTACTGTTTTGAGAACCTCTTGGTTCATATCACGTATGTCATATAGCAGGTCGCTATTTAATGTCAGTGGCCGTCAAGAGAGTTTTCAGATAACCTACCTCTGTAGCTGATTTTTGAAGTCAAGCATGATGGCCTTAGTCCTATCCAAGCTTTTCCTCAGCTTCTGCCTTTGGTTAACCCTGAATGCGAACCCGAACCGCTTCCGTTTTCCAATCACATGATACGCAGCCATCTCTCTCTTGAGCTCTTCGACGCTTTCCTGAGCGTGACCGATTGCGCGTGCCAGTTCTGCGCTTTCCCCAAGTCGGACATCACGCTCGTTGCACTGCCGAATGACATGCGTGATCAACTCTTCTACTAATTCGAGGTCCGTCTTCATCTCACGAATATCTTTCGGGCAGTCCTTCATGTTCGTTGTGAGGTCATATAAGGACTTAAGACCTTGCGCAACAGGGATTGCTAAGCCGACAAAACTACCGAGCGCAGCGGCGACTTCCATGGCGATGCCTGGAGGCGATTCTTCTCTCTGACGGATTTGGGAGGTGATAAAGATGCAAGAGTGTTCTATGGTGTTGCTCTGATTCAACAAATCTTGTGTTGTAGTGTTGTTTGACAATTATCGATGCGGTCGCGACAGGCCAGCGTGGAGAACACAAGCTTACTGTACGAAGATTTTGACTAGAGTGTAGAGGCAGCCCGTGGAGGCAGTGTACCTAAAACCTCTCACCGGCCACTGACCGGATGCTGACCGGACCCAGCGGGGCAGGATTGCCAAGCGCTAGGCTCTATTCAGCAGCAAGGAGAACTCACACCGCTAATAAAAGTGTCTAGCAACATATCGCCGTGGTATGTTATACCGCGTAGTAAAACAATAAGGATTGTGCTACATAATGTGCCGGTGTACCTGATGTTACCTGTCCTATAGGCGAAAAGAGGCCTGCTAACAATCGTGAAGATCATGCTTCAAGACAGGGCTTAGCTAATGTTTCGCTAGTCCTTGCATTATAAAGCTGCGCATTCCAGCCGAACTATCATTTCAAGGGTGTGATCTTGCTAATTGAGCTGGCAGCGGGTGGATGTGAGAGCAGGAAGTAAAGCATTATCTTGGCTTGTAGATTTTGCGAGACTTGACTTTAGCACACGAACGTCGTACGGAATGAGTTTGACTATTCTCCGCGCTTACTTTTCTAGCAATCACCCGCTTGCACGGCGGATGACTTATACTATGGTTTGTATCTAGGTAGCTCCGGCCGTCCCTCCAGCGCCGCTCAATTTTATCGCGTCCATTCGTGGTAAAGCTTTCTGAGGATTCCTCAACACTCATATCCATCAGCTGTTAGACTCTACTCTTGTTCTTTCTTTAGCCATTCCACTTCCTCATTCTCATCACCAACATTACCGCCGCTATCATCACCGTTCCTACTTGCCTCCGCTGCATCTCCCAGGACGATTTTCTTTCCCCTCTTCTTCCGACATCTTTGTACCCTTGCTTGACCTAACAAAGCCTTCAATTCATTTATGAAACGAGAGAAGACTATAGCATTGTGTTCCACATGTCGTAAGTTGCGTTGACCAATCGAACTCTTTTCACATCCCATAACTGTCCTGTGTATGAGCCTGCATGCCGTTTATCAGCAGGGAGATGCACATGGCACTTTTTCCGTCTGAGAGTTTTCTTCATGACCATGGTGGTGATCTCTTGGTTAGCAACGTGGATGGTGCGGCCTAATTTGAAGCAGTAAATTTTCATGGTGATTGGTGTTCCGCTTAGGTTCAAACCCTTTTTTTTGTAGTATCGAGGACCAATTTAGGTGTATACGCGTTCTTCATGTCGAGGGTAAGACGCGCGTAGCTTGAAGCGTGCTCATGGACAAAAAGGTATAAACCTAGACCATCGTCATTATCTTCTAGTAGTCGTGATAGTCTGGTCTGACCAAGTCTTAGTCTAGTCTGAACTAATAACTTGAACAACTTCGTGCTCGCAAAAGAGCTACGCATCGTAACAGACGACGAAAGCAAATAGTAAGGCGAGAGAAAGAGTTAGGGTGTTTAGCTTAATTGGCTGGAATCTTTGTATGAAGCAAACGTTACAGATAATTTAGTGTTGAAACTTATAAAAATACATGCACCTATCCCAATTATTGCCACACCATATATTCTATAACTTTGGGGGCTGCGCAACATTGCCGCGAAAGCGGTCTGCAAGAAGAGCATAATTCCCCCTTGTAGTATCAAAAGGTATGTTATTCAGACGATCATACAGAAGAAAAGATCGACTGAACGTAACAAAGCTCGCATCGAAGTTGATACCAAGGTCTTTGTTCTTTGCAATAAGTTTGGCCTGTGCATTCCTGAACGCAGTAACGGAGGGGTTGTCGTCACAAAGCCAGAATTTGAAGACACCGTTCAGACTTGGATTATTGTAACCACCATAGTAGGCACGAGAGTCGAGACCAGGGACCGGCGTGTGGGTACTGGCGTTGTAGATTGTACCGGAGGGAATGTCCGCGAGAAGACTGTTCATAATGTTGGCTGCGAAGGTTGAGTTGTCAAACGAAGACGTGTTCGCGTTGGAAGCATTTGCAACAACCCAGTAAAAGGCATTGTAAGTTTCGAAATGATCGGAAGATTCGCAGGTGTTCTGTATATCATGGAACGCTTCGTAAGCGTAAAAGCTCATCACTCCCGAGAAGTCACTGAAAGCATTCCCATCGGGGCCGATGACCGTCGCAGTGTAGTTATTCGATGGTGGTGTGGAAAAGGATGATTGAGAACGGCTGTAAAGCTCGGTTATGTCGTTGTGGCCGAAATATGAGGGTTGCGCATGATTTTCCGTAGTATTGATTCCGTAGGCTGAGTCAAAGATGTGACCCTGGACATAGGCGATAGGCTGGTCGACAGTGTCCGGAGCGTTCCATGATTTGCGGCCGTGAACTATCGTATGATGGTACAGATATTCCGAAGTGGTCAGACCTTGACGACGCTGGTTGGCGACAAGTTGCTTAGGAAACGAGTTGGGCCAAGTAGTGTTAGCCAGGCACTGCGCGACCAAGCCTTGACTAAGAAAGATCAGAACCGGAATATTGGGTAGCAGCATGACTAGTCACGATGACTTTGAACTCGTGAACTGTAAGCGTGGCGCTGGCACATAGCTGTTTTTATTGCCTATTTATGTCGGGATGTGGAGGTTGGATACTTACATAAAAGAGCCGTCGGCCCGCGCACGTCGCACAAAGTGGTGACGCGGTGGAATAGTGAACATTCGTAACTAGCTCGCCGACGCGCGGCCAGACTCGCGCCGGCGTTGTCTTGAATACTTTCATCAACCAATCCTTAGTCTCTACTCTTCTTCCTCCCGCAGCCATTGGAAGACGTTGATCATCTTTAAATTGTTCCTGATTCTGTCCATAGATAGAAATACCCTACTCAGAACTCATCCTAAAGACCAAACCTCATTCGCCCTTGAGGATAGTTCAACCCTACTTCGTCGATACTGTTTGGATATACATCGCATCCATGCGCTTCATATTATTGTAATCTCTATACGATCCCATGATTTGGGCGCAAGCCGCAAGTCATTTCTACCAACGTCCAATGCAAGTCCAATCCGGGAGTAGGTACTTTCGCCTCGGCGAACCAGCACTAAAAAGTTTCCTCCGAGGAACAGCAGTAAAGCATTGTGAGGTAGATACGGTGTTCGATATAGAGCATCCGGCAAGAATCGTATCATGTCTTTCACTTCTTTCGCGTCCTCTAACTGCTTAGCCAAACCTCGAACTGTTATACGCGCACTTTCAACTGCGCCAAAAGGATCGTTGCTCGCTGGGGTGCATTTATAATGTAGGACCTGTAGCTCTGCATTTGGCTCCGGACAGCTGGCTTTATAAAAACACACCGGTCTACCTGCAGACACCCATGAGAAAGATGGTCCAACATACAGCGGGTCGGTTGTTTCCTCCTGTGTTGAATCCAGAGAAGACCAACTGAGCCCGTATGACAAGTCTTCAAGCCAAAGTCCGGCGATATACGTAGCTGGCATCACTGCCTTATGTTTCGTCAAGGCTGCCAAACTGGACATCGCTGGTAGCTTATCGGTAGGCCTAGTAAGGGTCGTTTTGCTATACTCTACCACCAACGCATACCATGGATCGAACGAGATGGCTCGAAGTCCCCAATCCTCAATCCGCCAATGTTTTACATGTCCGCTAGCTCTGATATCACTTGCATAGGCAACCTCGCTGTCCAGGGGTAGAGTAGCAGATCGTAATCTTCGAATCTTCTTCCAAGTATCACCGTCCGAGATCTTTGGATTCAGGAGACGTACCGGACACCGTTCTGAAACCACAATCGCATTGCACTCCCATAAAACTTCATGATGGAGGAAATGAAGGATGCGCCTCGAATGGAACCTTTCTTGGAAGATCCAGCCTCGTTGAGTCAGTATGTTATCGTGAGCAGTGTACCTTGTGCTCCAGATGTAAGGACAAATGAGCCTCTGTCGGACCTCAGTAGAGCTTAGTAGTGTTGGATGCTCACAACCCCGGATTTCCAGGAGATTTCTATCAACTAGAAATCCGGCTTCGGCGTTTTCGGCTACATCTGCTGAGATGTTCAGCCACGCACCTGCATAGATTTCACCCATAAGAGATGACTGATCGACCCAATCAGTTGAAGAGTCTTGCAGGATACACAAGGCATCGATCCATAGATATCGCTTGCCAAGCTTCCTCGTTACGACAACTGCGTCATACAGTGTTCGTGGGAAACTATTCATCGGTATACCAGTCAGTCTTTCCGCCAGTGTTGTTGACTTTGTGGTGAGCAGTTCAGAAGCACTCCATCTATAGCTGAGGGTGACGTAGTCACCAAACCTATCTTCACCAATCGTGAGCCGTGGAGTTTGACTGCCATCTGCAGGACCAACATCTATGATGCGGAAAGGAAGTTTGGCCGGAGCCTTTTGATTGCACTGCGGATGGCTCTCACACCTGGCTATCCACAGCTTGATTAGTTCGACAACGATTTCCGAAGAAGGGTTTTCCTGCGAGTGAGATCTTTGGCAATGACGCCGGAGATTTGAACCCCTTCTAGGGACTATGTATGGTTAAACATATAGAGTCTGGACAGAGAGTCAGCAGACTTACAAAGGTCTTGTTGATACAAGTGAAATGGTCGCAAGTCACGTTGAATCGGATTTCCAAAGCTCCCCGAATCAGACTCAGACTGTAGCGATAATTTTGTGTCCCGGTCTGGGATGGACTCCAGGAAAAGAGGAATGCTCCGGTTTCCGCAGTAGACTTCCAGTCTCTCTCCATGGTCGAAGGGTACTGATTGATAATACGGAAAGTATCTCACAGTAACCTGCCAGCGTTCATCCCAGGCAAGCGATCTTGGTGGAGCACTGACACGCGATCTTGGTGGAGTCCTGGCAGGCGATATCGGTAAACCATCTCCATCCAGAGCCTCCTCGGGCCCGCTTAAGTCAAGCCCAGAAGCGAACAGGGTACAGAGATGGCACCCTTTGAGGGCGGATCTTCGTAGCGCGTGTATATTCTCAGCGTGTTGGAACAACTTTGGAGTGACGTCCAGGCCGCTATGCTCTTGCGATGGCTGAACGTCGAATCGAAGTGTTTTGCAGAGCTCACAAAGATTACCGAGCTGCGTTTCCATTACGATGGTACTTGTGGTTGCTGAAAGGTTCGTAGGGTCGCGCGACCAAGGATGATGGAACCTTGGAAGAGTTGTGCAGCCGTCGAGAAGGTATGATCGAAATCTCATAAAAGCTGAAACCATGGCTTCCCCGCACAAGGCTGATGATTAGTGGTTTCAACATCGTTCCACGGCGACTGGTGATTGGACGTAGTTTGCGCCTCAAGGCAGCCATTCAGCTTCCTCAGCCGCAGCATGTTTAGTGTCGAGACTGCAAACACCGCTCGTCGCCCACTTAAGTCCAAGTATGGGGACGCGGTTTAGACTCTAGTTGGTACATCTGGTCCCTACATGGTTTGAGTTATGAGATCATATTCGAATGCAAAGGGTTGGTAGCCAGTCGGCGTGTACTAAGTGTCGTATTCGTGCGGGTGCGCGTGATACGTACCCCAACCACCCGCGACGCCACGCAAAAGTTAGGCTATCATACCACACACAAAAGCCGTCATCATAAGAAATAGTGGCGAAATACGAAATAGGCCCATGCGACGACATTTCTCATCTAAGTTTTCTGGATAGAGCGATCTTGCGGCCACGGCTGCTGTATGTGGGGGTAGAGGGATGGAAAGCCTCCACCAACGAGACGCTGACTACAGGCAGCTTCACCACCACGTTTCTACTTCTTGATAGGTGGTACAGATCTAAAAGCCTTGTGCTGAAATTCTGGGGCTATCGCATAGCCTTTTCCAAATGTCCTGCGCCTGCTTATCGCGCTTTTTGTGCGCCTTGCAGTCGGCGGCTTGTACAGCCTTTACAGCCTTGAACAGGCTTTCCTATTTTGCTCTTCCTGCTCAAAGACCAGTGTGCTTCAAGCATCAATCTACTGTTGATCGGCCAGACGAGTGAATGTACCACCCGCAGCTTCAACAATCTGCTTCAACGCTTTCGCAAATAACTCCCAAGAATCTCGCTGCCCCTCAACTCGCCCGATAGGTCCGAAAAGTATGACTTCGCGTCATAGTATATGTCTTGCCTAGTCTGTTCTTGGGAATTCGCATCATCTCCCCCTTCATTTTCGCCTTCGGTACCATCATCATGGTGTTCACGTTCTACTAAAGGCAGCCGCACCATGTGGTAAGTCACATCATCAATGTACTCTCTTTTAGAATCGCCTGGAAGATGAATGTCGGGAGCCATTCTAGGAGTTGACACACACCGGAGAAAGCGTACATGCAAACCTGTTTTGTAGCGTCTAAGTTCGATGGTTGCTTGTAGAGGTAAGTGATGGAAGAGTAAGTTCATGGACATACCTACAATCTGTAGTGAAGCGTAAGGATCTTTGTGTAGAGACTTCTGGTGTCATATCAACACTGGACAGGCGTTGAAGGATGATATCGTCTCCGTCAACAGTCAGGTTCCAGATCACGGACTCGAATTGCCGCGCTGTAACATGTATGCGTACTGAACCTGCAAGCGGTTTTTCCGACAAGGTTGCGTTAGAATTCAACCTACCATCTACATTGCGACTATCTTGTATTGGCAGATTCGACTGAACAATGGTTCCAGTCTTGTCCGGCTCGCGTTGTTCCGATTGCTCGCAAAGATGTGGAACATCGACCTCGCGAGCTTGTTGGACATCCATCTCTGTGTTCGGAAGTTCATGCTGCTCGAAATCCAAAGAGGTGACAAGTTTCTCTCCACCCGGTCACTTCCAAAGGATGGTGAGTCTCTTGTTTCTCTCACTTGATACGACCAAGAGACCCGGAAGGCGTATCCCATGTTTGCCGGCTATGTTCACTGCATATAAGTGCTTATGCGACTGACCGGACATCCATACCAGTGTCGTCATCATGCCCTCCTTACGGAAAATCACAATCTCACCATAGAGTTCGTTTGGATTGATGTAGATTCCTGGTCTTCCAGTAGCAAGGTATCCATGGGCAGTCTGTTCATCTGGTGACGCGAAGGTTTCATCTCTCGTTGTGAACATATCGGTCTACTTGGCAAGGTCGTTTTCTCTGTATCTCCGCTGCGGAGAATGTAACTAGTTGTACTTTCACATCATCTGTCGTAGTTTGCTTCTTTCCTGTCGTCATGATAAAGATAGGGCATGGGACAAGCTCGTGTGATCTAGCGCCTTGACAAACCTGCTGTTGGTTTCAAAGTCATTCTGATGATACATTCCGAGACGAGAAAACGTGTTAGATGGCATACGAGTCAAGACGTGTGTAATGTTCAGGTGCAGCTTTCCATTCCGATTCCGAACGGAGCAACCCCCGCGTTGAGCTAGGATGTCTCGGGAGAAGCGGGGTACGCCTCCATGTCACTTTGCTCCTTGTGGCCAACATCAACTCCGTGCACAAGCGGGATGACTCTTTCTGACGCGAAAGTCTAGGCTCCATGCCGAAACAACCAGCGTATCTCGCGAGCGTCAGCGCTAAGCCAGAG